TTTCCTGGGCTCTGGCCGCCGAGCTACAGCGCCTGCGCGCGGAGCGCGAGGAGATGGTCGCGCAGCTGCGCTTCACGCAGGCCGCCCTGCAACAGGCGCTGAATGAGCGCAATGTGTTTTGTGGGCAGCAGCTCCAGGCTGAGAGATCTGCCGAGGGTGCCCCATTGGCCCAAGAGATGGTGTTTGGGCCTCGAGCTGACCAGCTTGGTACTGCAGCATGGTCCCTGAATGCAGAGCGGCAAAGAGATCTGGTGGCCATGGCGATGCATGGCAGGCTGTATTTTGAGGCTCAGATGCCAGCCCCAAGGGCTGTTCTTTACATGCCTGGGCCCCTAAGGCCCTGGGTCCAGGCAATGCAGCCCCCTCTGCCAGTGCAGATGCCATACCCATTTCCATTCCATGCACCATTTCCAATGGGATTCCCATTCTTGCCACGTATACCACCAGCAGTAGTCATGAATGCAGAATCTGCAGTAGTTCCACTTCAGATGCCTCCTCCATGGGTCTACCCACCTGGCCCATGGCCTGCAGTGGGCTTCCAGGAGATGGCCCCACTGTGGGACCAGAGGAGCTACAGGCAGGGGGAAGATCCTAAGATTCCCCAGGATACAGTCCCCTTAGGGGACACCAGAAATATTAACCAGGAAGAAGATCCTGAGAGGCCCCAGGGGGCGATTCCCCTTGGGGAGAGCTGGAGCCACAGCCAGGAAGAAGATTCAGAGAGCACCCAGAGGTTGATCCCCCTGGGAAATATTTGTAGCCTCATCCAGGAAGAAGGTCTAGAAAGGCCCCAGGGGATGGTTCCCCTGAGAGATAGCTGGAGCCTCAGGCAGGAAGAAGATACAGAGAGGCCCCAGGGGATGGTACCCCTGGAGGCCAGTGGGAGCTACAGCCAGGAAGAAGTTCCAAAAAGATCCCAAGGGACTATTCCCCTAGAGAGCAGTAGAAGCCAGAGCCAAAAGGAAGACCAGGAGAGGCCCCAGGAGGCTGTCCCCCTGGGGGGCAACAGAAGCCAGAGCCAGGAAGAAGGTCCAAAGAGGCCCCAGGCGACCCCCCAGCGGGACAGCTGGAGCTGTGGTGAGAGAGAAAACCCAAAGAAACATCAGCCCCAGGGCCAGAAAACCAAGCAGCCCAAAGGGAAAAAAGCCTCAGAATCACACCAGCAGGAGAAGTCGGCCTCAGGTTGCAGTTCAGTGAATTGGGTGTGCACATGGTGTAAAGCAATGAATTTCTCCTGGCGCAAGTCCTGCTATAAATGCAAGAAAGTCTGCATGGCAGTTCAGGGATGCCTGGACCCAGGACAAACTCACTGATTTCAGGAAGGTAAGTAAGAGTGGAAACACTCCAAAGTAAAACCAATTTCCTAAGACCACCACCACTCCTTCTGATCAAAAAGTAACTCATTTATTTCACGGATAATTTGAAACCAAAATTATGATATAGAAAATTAAATAAAATAATTCATTATCCCATTACCCAAAATAACAACTTTTTATCATCATGGGTACATATGCACACATAAATACATATGTATTTGTGTTCTTTTTTTTCATTCTTGAACAAAGAGGGACTGCTCTTGAGTATCACACTTAACTCTTTAAGGAATTTCTCCTAATTGCATTTATGTTCGCAGGTGATCAATTGTGGATGGCTAATGCTGATTGATTGACACGCTGGAGAAGCTGAAGTCATGAAGACTTTTTTTTCTTTTTCACTCCTTTCTGTTTTCACTGTTTTCACTCTGTTTTCTTATTAACCTTCTTTTCCTGAAAATGCCATGTCTTTGGCTGGGAACAGCCATGTGTTTAGAGTTGAATTTTAGGAGCACTACTTTTTGTTGAAAATGCTATTATTCCTTTGTAAACTACTTCAGTATTCATGTTTGCTTTTTTTGTTTGTGTTTTAAGTTTCATAGGTGAGGGTCTGTTTTTATGTCTCTGAACCTCATGGAATTTGCCTGTTGCTGAAGAATCTGAACCTATTGCATTAAAAGATCTCCCAAGAGTCTAAAGAAATAACTCCCCATTTCTGACTGGCCTGCATCTCAGTGAGAACCCCCCTCCCACCCCCACTGGCTAGAGCCAAGCAGAGTGAGAAGTTAGGGAAGAAGAGATGCTTTGGCACTCAAGGGGATAAGGGGGGCAAAATAGTTTTGTTAGGATTTAGCTTCTACGTTGGGACGAGGAATTAATTCGTAAGAGTTGAGGGTTTCAATGTTAAATTGTATACGTGATAGCAAATTTCATGAATTTCACTTAATTCATTAAACAAATAGTTATTATTGAGTATGTGTTATAAACTAGACTTATATGTTAATATCTGGTGCACACATTATAAGCTGACTTGGTGAGTTTGGTTAGATAACAGGAAAGAGCCTAATTTGGGATACAAATTATATCGAGTAACTTCTTTGCCCTGCATATAGTGTGGCCTTTGGGTAAACTCAATTGAAATAAAATCCAGATATTTCTGCAGTTCAGCAGGTAACATCAAAAAGATTTTCATGAAAGGACTTGATTGCCCAACTGTTCATCTCGTTGGTCCCAGTAGACAAATGACTACTGGCAAAGATCGAGAAGGTGGCCTCACAAAAGTACAGGCTTTTCTGATACTCTCCTGATTTCCTCCCTTGTGAGGGACAGCTAGTTTCCTGGTTGCCTGAAAGACCACTGGGTGAAGGACAGTGCTTGAGGGAATGTTGGCTACACACTAGAGCCTTCAGCTTCAGTCTGCCACCGTCCTAAGTCCCTTTCCAGTCAAGAGTGGGTGAAGAACAAAATGGATTCCAAGAACAGATATCGTGCTATGGGTGGCGCTTGTCTTTTGAGGACTATTGGATTAAAAATAGAACTGGACTGGAACAAGCACTATTGACAATGCCCCTGGGCTCTTCTCTTCCATTTGGTGTGTTCTTTGCCAGCTTCTCAGAGGCAAGTGGAGCCCAGGGGGTTGAAAGTTAGATCAGCCTCCAGTCTGAACAAATGGTGTCCTTCAGTTCCCCCAGGAGATCCCAGCTCAGCAAGCTCCACCTTTGTCAGAGGTTTTCTGATTCTTACTGGTAATAAAGTGTGCACTTTCCTGCTGTGTCTCCTGTGTAGTGTGTGTCTGGGGGCAGGTTTGCTCAGAAGCGGCAGTTTAAATCTGCCTCTTCCCTCCATCCCTCTGAGGTGAAGGAAAGGCCAACCTCATTCAGTACTGAAGGACCCCGCCTCATCCTGCAAGTTACACAAGAACGGGAGGGCAGAGGGTATTCTACAGGGTCTTCACTCCACTGCGATTGTCCCCGCTCCCCTCACTGTCCAAGTCCACATGGTCCCTTGAAGGCGGGCATCTCGGCTACTCCTGGGCCCGTGGGGCATAAGAGGTGAGGAGAGGAGGGGGCTTCTGCCTAGGCTGGGAGCCCTTCTGCCTGGTGTCCAGCCTCCCTACGTGCACCAAGAAGCCATTTCCCTGAGGCCCTGCCTCCCAGAGGTCCCTCGGACAGAAATTTCTCTCCTGCCTTTCTGCCCTGCGAGGCACTGTCCCCTCCCTCCTATGTAGAATTCCATCAAGGTTCTCAGGATTCTGGCTACCTGCCTGGTATAGAGACCGGGATGGGGCAGAGAACAGAAGCGATCCTGCCCCACCAGCATTCCCTCTTCCCTCAGAGTCCTAATTATGGGGAAGCCTTGGCTACTTGGGAGGGCACTGGGAAGGAAGGGGACCTTCGGGGACATCAACCCAAAGCTGGGTGTTCTGGGTTGGAGGCTGGTTTTGCAATACTCTTGTGTGCGCTGTTAGCTCCCTGGAAGTCTGGGAGGATGGGACACAGATGAGACTTGGGAATTTTCTAGCATAATCCATTTTGATGTACCTGCAGGTCATTTTAGATCTCACTACATTTGCTTCATTTATGGTTTCAATGGACTCTGCTGCTTATTGGCATGCCTTTAGATCTGCATGAAAGCAGACTCACCCTCTGCATAGCTTTTATATAGTTTAATATGATTATAATCTTTCATGGCTGACTTTTTCCCAAAGCAACCTGAATCACTGAGGCTGTCAAATCACCACTTTCTTCTGGGTTGGGTACACACAAGAAAAGGCAAGAGGTTTCTGAGGCAAGAATCTGGGTTTTGGAGTTAGACCTGAGTTCAGATACTTGCTCTGCTATTCACTAGCTGTGTGAACTTAAACAAGTTACTGAACTTCTCTGAGCCCCAGTGAGTGGTTGTTCCCTTTCCCTACCCTCAGGGTTCTGCTCTGGATGCTGTAGTAATGAGTATAATGGATTATTAATGACGGTAAGTGTTACCATTTAGTGCTTACCTTGTGCTACACACTCTAAGCATGTTACCCCTTTTGGTGACTATAAGGTATAGTAGGCACCTTTATTAATAGTTTTTCAAAGTGGATATTATTACCCCCATTTTACAGATGTGGTAACTTAATACCCAAATTTGGGAATTGGCGAAGTTTGGCTTCAAAATGAAATTTTGCTGATTCTAATGTCTGTGCTCTTTCCGTTATTATGACTGCCTTAACTTTTCACCTTTACTAAGTAATATATGTTGCATATTAACGTGGATCATCAATGCCGAAACCCAATGAAATGACTGTAATGGAGAGACTTTGAGGCATAATGGCAGTCTGGGGGTCAGGGAGCTGTTCTTTTAAAATTTCTCAAGCTTCGGGATAGGTGACCACCTAGGCTGCCAGTAAGGAGGACCACTTGTTATCCCAGGACTACAGAAAAAAAAAAAAGAAGTGGTAACTTAGGCAATGGGAGTGACTTGTATTTGATTCAGCAGACTGGCTTTAGGAAAAGGTCATAGAGCCGAGTTCAATACTAATAAGATAGAGCCCATCTTGATTGCTTATTTACAGTCTGTGTAAATTACTCAGTTATGTTTTAAGCAGATAAGGTGCCAACTGTAACAGTCCAGTAGATATACATATATACTTTTCAGTGAGGAAGTAGGGGAAAAGGAGACTTCAAGAGCTTCAGACTCATGTTGCAAACTGGGTAATGGAAACGATATTTTTAAAATCATGGTATGAAATCTATGAAAAAGTAGCAAAGAAATACATAATTTCCTTATCGCAGGCTTTGTAAAGTCCCAGCACGGAATAGGAGCAGATTCTTATTATGTGGTGCAACCACTGTGCCTAGCACTCTTGAGTGGTTTCCTCGCTTCTAGCATGTGAGAGAGTGAGTGCATCCATTGGCACTAAGCCTCACATAAACTTAAAGATGCTGAACAGCCCAGGCCTGTGACCTTATGAGGTTGCTGTTGAACAGATTTTCTCATTGACTATGTTCTTCAATACTTAAGACAAGTGTTCAGGACCACAATGAAATAGGCCTAGGAAGTGCTGCTGCACTGGGTAGCAGTTCCTTGAGTACGACTCCCTGTTTGATTTACTGCTGGAAGCACTCTGTTCAGTGGACCTCAGAATCCCTCCAGTAGGTCAGATCCTAGCCCATCTAGCCCAATTTCTCTGGGGCTTAAAGCAATTGTAGAAAAGCGTCATAGCCTCCCCGGTGTCAATTTTAGAGGTAAGAAATGCCAGTTGGAATCTCTAGCTTCTTATTACTTCACAGATCAAGCAAAGAGCATACATGGAAAGAAGGCTTCCTATGCGCTGGGCACTGTGTTAGACTCTGTGGAAGTGATCATTATTGCCCTCAATGCTCTCCTGTTTTGCTAGAAGAAATAAAACCACTATACACCATACACCAGTTATCAACCTTTTCTTCAATTGTTCCATCATATTTTCTGGCCTGTAGATGTCACTTTTTGAAGGACTCTGTATCAGACAGCTTTATTTAATAAATGATTATCTTCTTACTTAAAATTAAGAAAGCCTGTGTATCTGTAAAGTTTCCTGACACAAAGTTGATGTAATTTAGCTAAGAGCAGTCACTTGCCATTTAAATTTAGGATTTTTGTGAGGAGTCGATAAATATTTTTATTTTTAAAATTATTACTGTTACTATTATTATTACTATATGCAGCCTAATCACAGGCAGATGGACCATTTTCCTAGGCTCTTTGTAATACCGACAATACCTCAGAATACATCATCACTGCCTTCTTAAACTTCTATGAACTTTGGGAGCACAATTTAGGAACAAGTTCTGTAGAAAGCTGGTAGTTTTAATACATGTTAAATACCAGTATGTGCTAAAGGATTTTAGAGCACTCCAAGTTCAGTATGAACCGTTTTGGTTTGCAAAGCTTCCATGAGAGCCAGATGGTTTCACATTGTGCCCCAACTTGACAAAAAAGTTGCTAAAAAAGTTGACATTGTTTTACTTCAAAATAATATG